ATGAACAACGGGAAAAGATTAGACGAGCAATGCATTCCGCAGCGAAGGTTGCCTGTGGGTGTGAAGCGGTAGCCCCCTTGAGGCATTATATATCCGATCAGTCAGTATCCCTGATGAAGAAAAAGCGTCAGCTCCTGACCGCCCGGGATCAAAGCAGGGGTAGGTGGCCTCTGCAACGTCAGCTCAAGGTATACCATGAGAACTAGTGAAATGGAAGTGGAAGCTGCATCAGGGAATAGTCAAAAACTGTTCCAACTGGTACGCATTACAGGAGGTCGCTGAACCATAGTAAAACAATCTGGGACAAGTGGACAAGCCATACACGATAGGGAACACCGGCTTGACCGGTGGGCAAAGTACTTCAACGAACAGCTCAACTCGCCAGGCGCTCATCAGGCTATTTCCGGTGTAGCTGAGGCTCCATGGAAAGTGTCATCTGAACCTCCTGCCGAAGCAGAAGTTCCGTCTTGCTTCCAAGCCCTGAAGAAAAGGAAAGCAGCAGAACCGGACGGGCTTCCTCCCAATCTTTCCAAGATGGGGACGATGACCTCGTAGACTCCATTACTGATTTAATGCGTAACATGGTCACAAGCGCATTCCATCATCCTGGGGCGAATCACTGATTGTTCCAATTCTTAAGAAGGGATCTCGCAACGACTGCGCAAACCGCCGTTAAATAAGTTGGATCCCAATCCTCACAAAGTTACTAGCTTCCATCATGCTGTGAGGTCTGGCACCGTTTAGGGAGACCAAAATCCGCGAACAACAAGCAGGATTTGGACCAGGTCGCGATTGTCCCGATCAAATCTTCACTCTGCGTCAAGTCCTTGAGCTACGCCATACGCACTGTCGTCCAACGGTTGTCGTGTTCCTCGGCCTTAAAGGAGCCTTCGACTCAGTTGATCGTGAATCCCTTATGAGTTCGCTCCTTCGCAAAGGAATGCCGCAGAAAAACGTGAACTTACTGAGTTCACTCTACGCGCATACTTCTGGTAGCGTAAGGTTCTACGGCGAGCCGAGTAGGTCGTTCGTAACTAGCAGTGGTGTTCGTCAAGTCTGCCATCTTTCGCCATTCGTGTTCAATTTCGTCATAGACGAACTGAGTGGTCTCCAAAATGAAGGTATTAAATGGGCAGCTAGAGGGAAGCTGTGTGATCTAGAGTACGCGGATGACATCGTTTGCCTGTTCGAATGTATGGAAGATGCACAAAGAGCACTTGATAGATTAGCAAGTTCTGTCGCTCCGTTCGGCATGTGTTTTGCACCTTCAAAGTGCAAAGTGATGCTACAACACTAGGTGCCGCCGAGTTCTGTTCCGAAACTAGACGGTCAGGAATTAGCTGAAGTTGACTGCTTCTCGTATTTCGGTTGCTGCGTGACCAACGACGGTAGCGCATCAAAGGAGATAACCGCGCAAATTTCCAAGGCTCGATCGGCGTACGCAGGACTTAAACACCTTTGTCGGCGAAGTGACGTTTCACTGAAGTTGAAAAGTCGTGTATTCTGCGCCACTGTACCATCAGTTATGCTTTGCGGTTGTGAGACCTTGAATTTGCGGGTAGAAGACATCCATCGGCTAGTGGTTTTCGACAATCGATGCTTACGTAGTCTGGCTCAAGTGTGATGGAGTGGGCAGGTTAATAACTTGGAAGTAAGTCGTCGGATGTTTGGGAATTGCATCGAACAAGAACTCGCTATCGCATCGAATTCATCTCAATAGGCTCCGTTGGTTAGGACACGTTTTGTGTATGTCCGACGGTCGNGTTTTGCATATGTCCGACGTCGCCTACTGCAGTGCGTTTTATTTGCAGTGGCTGTTGCAAGCTAGGTAGAGTAGGTGTCTCTCGTCTTCCGGGTTGGGGTCCAAAATATTCTAAAACCGCAATGTTGGAGACACTGGACGTCATGGCTGCTGTTAGTTGCTGTCACTTCTTATCAGACCAGAATGCTTGAAATAGTATTTATGCACAGTTTGACTGTCTACTCAGTGTGTTGATCAGAGGTTGGCCTTCTTTTCCCGTCCCTAGAAGTAAATCCAATCCCTATCCTTCTTACACATTCTCACTTACCTTGTATGCAGTATGCGTTTGGCATCGATCTGTGAAGTTCGTTTCACTGTATTACGCTGTACAAAGATGATGCCGCGTAGCGCAAGCTATATTTGTGTAGTGCAGTTCGAAATTGCTAGTAATCGCAGACCAAATCGATTGAGCAGAATCTTTTTAACTGCATCGTCTGGTTCGGCATGTCGTAAGAATGCCTAAGAAATGTCAGTTTAGTTTTCAGCTTTTGCACCCAATAAGCATGTACTGTCTTGATCCAGTTTTGGTTGCCCATTTGAATAAAAGAGCAGAATAAAGATTAGAATATTGAGAACAGGGTATACGAAAAGACACAATTCATATAGATGGGTTGCGAGAATATGGAGTAGATGCACGAGCGCCACTGTTCACGCCAAACAGATATGTGACTCAGTGTCTAACCACCAGTTACAATGATATCGGAGTGTCTAACAGCTTCAGTTTGAAGAAACAATAACCATCCACTTTCGTGCGCCGGTTTTGGTTGCCGTCTTTTGGCTTCCCATTTAGGTGAACAGTAGAAGAAAGACAGGAAAGTTGAAAGTAGAGTCGAGTAGAAAATGGAGAATTTCAGTGGACTAATGTTGCAAAGAAATTGAGAAGGTGCACAAACGCCACTGTTTCCGACTCTCATCCATATCACTCAGTCTCTAACCATTAATTACGCTGATCCCGAGGTCCCCATCCAGGGAGCCTAACAGGACCCATGTGACCTAGTGTCCTGATTAGGGTTTTCATACCCTCATGCCAGGTCTTTGCTTGACCACCCTTGACTTTCTTCTATCCACTACCTGCCTCGGCGAACGTCGCTCGCCGTGGAAACCTATTTGGTGACATGCGTAACACATGCCCCAACCGAAGTAAGCTATGGAGATCAACCCTTGCTCCAGTGAGCGACTTCGGTTACCCAAGACGGTCATCGGGCGCAATACCACAACCTACGGGTGGTGGTGGAGGGATCTTACGTGGTTCTAGTATTGGGACTTAAGTTGTCGGCTTCCATGATTGAACAACAGGTCCTTCAGACTGATTTTCATCACTGGATGTGTGATAAAAATCTTCATGACGGTCGTCATCTCTTCTAGAGATTTGTTTTTATCACCTTTGATTTACTTTCTTTCGGAGCTGATCCCGCGCGTGTTCGGATTGAGATCGGATGATCGAGGTTGCCAAGGGAGCGTCTTTGTACCATGATGATCAGTGCGTGGTTAATGGCTGTAAAAAACTGAACTAAACTGTGATGCACATAAAATCGCGTTGACCTTCTCTCCAGGTGACCGACCCCAGATATGTACTAAACCCCATTGATCCAAATTTGTCTTCTTTAGCTTCACGAAAATCGACGCAGGTCGAGGCTGAACAATCCGATAAGTTACCGATTACAGTATCATCATCGTAAAGAGAGATACAACGAAGTGAACCTCGCTAATTGCTGCGATTGCAGCCGCTAAGTAAGACTGATTGGAGTTAAGAACTATAAACAGGGGTCATCTGTGTTTGGGCTATCGCTTTCAGAGCTCAGTAGATAATTACTTGAACATCTGAACCGATCGACGCATCTGCTCAATGACCGTCCTAAAAGACCAAAATTCTCGGGAATCTCTTGGTATGACCTCTGATTCGTACGTCTTGATTGCATGCCAAACAACATTTACTGTTGTTAGCATTGCGTGAACTCAATAAAACTAATAAACGCGTGGGCATCGAACGCTGAGAGGTATACGTCTCTTTAACCCTCATTATAAACTTTATGAAACAGTAAACCGTATCACGTAAAAGTTTAACTTGGTTTCGCCAGGTTGAAATTTCAACCGGAGCCTCAGGAACACCTTATTTGATGAGAGCGAGGGGTGCTTCCGTGGCGAACACTGTGTATCAAAGCGTAGCTGCTATTCTATACGAATGTTCGAAACTTTCATTATGTTAAAAGATTATACACACCCACACACTGGCCGTTGTACTTTTTGGTTGATTTGAATTCGTGGTCCCTTACTTTCAGGTCCACCTACGGCATTGAGAATGTGTGAGGCGAGTGAAGCTGTTTTGTCAAGAAGAAACATCGCCAAGCCTCTTGAGTCCAGTTCGGAAGTCGAAACAAATGAACTCCCTCCCACGGAAGAAGAGGCTGATTCCAAGGAGGTGCGTCTCACACTCATGGAGGAGATCTTATTGCTTGGTCTCAAAGATCGTGAGGTAGGTTTCATTTAGTTTTCTATGACGGTTGTTAGGGTCACTTATCCTTCTGGAACGATAGCGTCAGCTGTGGACTCCGGGGCTGCATAATGGCCGAGCTAGCACTACGTGGTCGTCTGACTTTGGAGCCCAGTGGGATGCGTCGACGAGGTTTGTTCTCTCGAGCTGTTGTTGTGAAAAATAGCGTGCCCACTGGTGATGCTCTCTTGGATGAGGCTCTCAAGCTAATTAAAACCAATCAACCAGAGAATACTAAGACGTGGATCGACTATCTGAGTGGTTAGTTGTATAAAATTACAAAGCTTCATCTGGTTTGATTTTTTAGGCGAGACATGGAATCCGTTCAAACTTCCTTTACAAATGCGGAATGTTCGCGAGCGAATAGCCAAAAATCTAGTTGAAAAAGGCGTTTGCACTACGGAAAAACAAAACTTCGTTGTCTTTGACATGATGACTCATCCGCTCGTAGATTTTCAAGCTAAACAGCGAGTTGTACATCGCATCCAAGATGCCATCCTCAATAAATGGAGTGCAGACATTCACAAAGTAGACAAGCGCCTTCTATGTCTTATCTTGCTTGCCCACCATTCGGACGTCTTGGACAATGCTCTGGCCACTCTGTCCGATTCCGATTATGATTTGGCTAGAAGGCGTGTCAGCTCTGCTCTACAACTGGACTACACATCAGAAGCCGCCAAAGATGGTACCAATGACCTTCTTTGGGCCATATTGGCTTCGTTCAATGTTTGAATACTGCGCCATGTGACTAAGCAACAGCAGGCTGTGATCTGTTTGCCATTGTATAATACACACTTATTGAGTATGTCCTTCCAACGGATATGTACCCTCAGGTCGTACGGTCAGTGTTTTCCCGCATAATCAGCTACTTCGCGGACTTTTGTATCGTTCAAGCCTGACCTGAGATAGCCAAGCTGTGATCGATTGTGATGAGATGGTTTCCTCTTAATGCGGTACCAAACCCATACGTCCATCCGATATTCAATCCATACGCTTGTCTCTTTTCTGTCACTATGCGTGTTTCCATTCATAATTTGAGATTTTCAGTCTAATTCTACTTTCGTTTCCTTTCCCTCCTTTGGGTTTTTGCACTAAGAGGTTAGATATCCGTATTTGCGAATCACTTTCGTTATCAATTCCGATTCATATCTGAATTACTCAAGTAAACTTTGTTCGTTGGATTAATCGCACTGGAAACCGGTACATCTCACTGATTTACCTTTATAATACAATTACCGTCATTTACAGTAAACGTATTAAAATTCCACATCAAGATGCGTGTTACGGAAATGTAAATACGGAAAGTATTCATGATGAACTCAGCTCGGGAATCATGAGAGAAGTCGTATGTGAGAGGGAAAACAAGACGGAAAAAGGTAGTTAGATACCTGGTTGCCCTAGGGTAACGGACCGTGTAAACTCTATTGTCTAACTTTGGAGGTCGACAGCTCCCTTGTCCGACTGAAAATCGCTCCAATGCTGTTAGGATCTTCGGTTCGCCATTCCAGCAACCAAAACCGATTTCTTCGCGCCGACGGGTTTCTTTTCATGCATTCTTCATAACACGGTTTGTGTAATCAAAAACGTCTATACAGACTCAATAAGGTTGGATGGTGGCCTGAGTCCTTACGGGGAAGGAATCAGGGCGGACTTTTCCTTCCCGAGGGGTCGGCTATGGTAAAATAAATATGATGACAAAACGGCTAGGCTACTGACTATACGTTGAAATTTCCGTGAATGTACACAATGCTTCATTCTCACAAGTATGGCTTGACTGCTTCTTCCCAATACAACAGTGAGGACTATGGATTTGTGAAAGGGTTTTCTTCACGGTAGACTCGTCATCGTTTCACAAACTCCAAGTTAAACGAACCCTTGTACGGTCACAGTTGGATTCTCGCTTCCACTCACTGCCTTGGTAGTGTATAGGAACAGCACCTCTAGCAATAGATTCTCTTGCGTCTAAATGGCAACACCAGTCTTTTGTCTTCACCCTACAATCAGATCTCATCCGTTGATTTAACGTAGCTAGAGTCAAAAGATGGAGTACATACTTGGTACATATGCAGTGGGCCGCACCGAGTGACGGTATCCGAGCGTCATGGAAACAGACACCCACTACCTGGCAGGTGGCACAATAGCTGTACAATTTATAGGTGAACCAATTTAGACAAAAACCAAATAACGTTTGAGGTGTAGCTTCTTACTTCTTCCCCGAGAATATTGATAAAACACTGAGGAAGCTATTCGTTTTAAAATGAAAAATGATTCTCGGATATTTTTCATTGCTAGTCACGATAAGATAATCCCAGGTTCTAAACTTGAAAGCGTGGGGCGATTCATTTATGAGCACTTGTGTTAATGCGCAAATTTACGTATGGCATTCCGGATTCGGTAATACTGGCTAGATTATTCATTGAATTCCAGTTTCAATTATGACCATGAATTCTGTAAACGTATTGCCTACATCTCAAAAGGGATCTCTTGTTATC